TTCTGACTCTTGATTTCAGCTCAGGTCATGATCTCCCAGTTAATGGGATAAAGCCCCTCATCAGGCTCTGCACTGAACACGGAGACTGCTTGGGATTCCCTCTCTCTCCCTCTCTCTCTCTCTCTCTCTCTCTACCCCTCCCCCACTCATTCCCTCTCCCTCTCAATATTAAAAAAAAAAAAAACTAGGGAAAAAAGGGCAAATATGTGGAAGAAAAGTATAAGGAGAAGAAAAAATGAGATGGAGAAGATGAATGGAGGAAAACTAGCAATGTTATTAACCTGAAAAGACAGTAATACTGGTAAACCAAGAATGAGACTGTTTAAGAAAAAAAGGAACATACACCATAAGAAATTAAAGAGGAGATACCACTACAGATCCTACAGACATTAGGGAATCTTGTAAACAATTTATATCGATAAATGAAATAAAATGAACAAATGTCTTTTAAATACAACTTATCAAATCTGGCATGATGAAAAAAATCTAAACATCCATGTCTACTAACAAAATAAAATTTGAATGTTATCAGAAACCTTCTCTAGATGGTATCACTGGTAAATTCTAGTAAACACTCACTTGAGAATGAAGATCAATGCTAAATTATTTCAGTAAACAGACCTATTATATGAGGCCACCATAATCATAATACTGAAACCTGACTAAGACATTACAACCAAAGAAAACTACAAAGCAATATCCCTTATGAGTATCCCCAAATCCCTAACAAAACATTAAATATGAAATACTCTGTCCAAATGAAAATTATCATAGAAATCAAGGATAAAACAAATGCTTCTGCAAAATGACTGTGTCAAATTATATTCTTGCATTTACATTCTCACCAACACTTGATATTATCAGAATGTTTAAAGTTTGCCAATCTGATAGCAGTGAAATGGTTTCTTCTTATGGTTTTACTTGGCACCCTCCTGATTACCAAGGTATAATTCACTGCTTTCCAGCTCTAAGTCATGATATCACGTAGTTGAGTTGCAACCAACATTCTTAATGTAAAAAACAGAATCTGAAAATATCAGAGAGCACTATATAAAGGTTAAATGTTACTTCATGAAACTTTTACTGTTCAATTACAGCAAAACTCCATGAGACATATGGGCAAACTTTACCCGAGCACCATTTCTGCCTATAGTACAAAGGAATGTTTTTTTATAAAGAAAGTAGGATTTAAGATGTCCTTCAAGCACAAACTGGCAAAAACAATTGAAAGAGGAGGAAAAAAACCTAAGGGAAACAATAAGGGATGAATTATATGAAGAAAAGATTCTACAAAACTAACTGGTCTATTACCTACTTAAAGCTCACTTTAAAAGAAGCATATTTCTCAATAAAACAAGGTTTCTCTCAGCACTAAGGTAGGAAGCTGAGATTCTATCCTCTTAACTACTGAAATGACAGAAAACTAACCTTTCCTTCTCTGTAGGCATTACCCTAAATCCCATCTCAAGCTGCATCTCATTCTGGGGCTTATATATGAATATTCTTTTAGGTCTCCACTTCTTGCTTCCCCCTAAGGAGTGTCACCTTAGCTAGAAATATCTTTAATTCTAAAGATGTATATGTTTATTCAGTTAACAAACATTTATCAGGCTCCTATTATATCAACTCTCTAGTAAGAAATCAAGTTTAACTCCTGATTATATACTCTTTAAAAGCTTGATATCCTTAATTGAAACTGTCCTAATTGCCTCCTCTTGAAAATATTCTGCTTCTTGGACCCAAAGCATCCCACATACCAACTTCTGCTACCTTCTTTGTTCCACCAATAATATCCCTACTCTGACCCTTACAAAGAATTTCTTCTTCACAAACTGCAGACCAATCAAGCCACAGAAATAGCCTGGGGCAATGAGTGTGTGAATCTGCCTGTCACTTAATAGCTTAAGCATTAAAATCTCTTATTTTAAACAACAAAAAAATCTCTTACCGTATTAGACTCAATCTTATCTCTAAAATGGGTAAAACAACAGGTATGAAGGAATAATAATTAATTTCCTATTGCCTTTCTTATTACCTGAAGTTTTGTTTTAACGTGTTTTATTTATTTCTGAGAGAGAAAGAGCGTGAGAAGGGGAGGGTCACAGAGAGAGGGAGACACAGAATCCGAAACAGACTCCAGGCTCTGAGCTAGCTGTCAGAATCCGAAACAGACTCCAGGCTCTGAGCTAGCTGTCAGCACAGAGCCCGACGCGGGGCTCAAACCCACTAACTGTGAGATCATGACCTGAGCCAAAGTCGGCTGCCCAACCTACTGAGCCACCCAGGCGCCCCTACCTGAAGTTTTTTAATTCTAGTTTTTAATTTCCTCTAAATGCAAAAAAATATTTTTATAGAGTGAGGCACTTAAAATGAGGTACTAGGAAATGTGGGAAAGGATAAGGTTTAGAGACAAATAAGAATGAGTAAATTTATCAAGCAGGTTATTGCTCTCCCTCTGTGCTCGCCTTGTATGTCTAGATCTAAAGAGGCAAAACTAAAGATACTCCTTTCCTAATGACAGGTAAAATTCTAAGAACCCTCAATGACCCACATCCTATAAATTACCCTCCCTCTGAGTGTGAGGGACCTGTAAATATAATGGGATATCATTCCACTGGTGGTTACATGGCAAACAGATTTTACACATGATTTTACACATGTATTTAAGGTCCCTAATCAGTTGAGTTTGCCAAAAAGGAAATTACCTTGGGTAGGTGTAACTGAACTAGATGAGCTTTAAAAAGGGGTCTTCAAGAAGAGACTAAAGGTCAAAAGAAAATGAATATACTCCTTTACTATAGGATTAAACAGCAAAGAAAAACAAGGGAAGAGGAAAGGACTTCCAACTCCCTCCATTTTGACCTCAGTCTGTACATTCTAACTGATTAAACTCTTCATTCCTCTCTTAAATCAGGCAAAAACCCAAAGGCAAAGCATCCCTTGATGAGAACCAAAACTACACCCACAAGCAATAAGGACGACACTGAGCCAATAAGACCCACTGTGACTGACCCCTGGAGCCAGGTGCTCTTGTACCCTTGTATCCAGGCTGCAAAGAGTTTATCTTTTTCCCCAGAGTGCATTATATATGTCCTCACCACTGAATATGAAGATATACAGATCCAGAATCAAAAGGGAAAAGCTAAAAATGTATAAAATATTTAAACTTTGATGAGAAAAGTAAGGTTCAGAGACTGACATCACTGGGTAATGTTTAAGGTAACTTCAGTCCAGAGCTTTTTCCCCTACACCTAAAGCTCCCCTTAAGGCTTTAAAAAAGTCATTCAAATCAACAGTAATTTTATTACTGTCTTCAAAGGAAGCAATCCTAGTAACCTAATTTCCCACATTTCACATATATTTCAGCAACTCAGTTTTGTCAGAACATCAAAACCTAAAGTGGATACTGAGAAACTTCCACTCAAAAGTAGTTTGGTTATAAAAAGGAACATTGGTAGAACACTTGGACAAATTTAAAATACATTTTGAAAATCTTAAGAAAAAAAATTAGCAAAACACCTGTAGGTTTTCCAGAACTTTATTTAGAAAGCAAGCAATTTGTGTTCTAAGTGTTGACAAAAATCAAAGGCGAGTAGACACCCTTAGATAGCCTTTCCGGATCCTTCAATATTTCCCTCCTTCTACAATTTTTAAGTCTGAAATCATCACAATAAGCATGAGAACATGGTACAATATTTCATACATGGTACAATATTTCATATATAAATAAGTCCTTTCATGTTCAACAATTTTCTTAAAACACACATGGAAAACTAAAAGGTAGAGTCGTATTCAAATTCCACACAAGTTACACATCACACAACTTTATACCAATTCAAATCCTTTCACAAGCACTGTATTTCCTAAGATGCAAAATATAGTCCTTTCTAGTCACGACTACGCGAAGGAATAAACTATATTCATCACCTGAACAAGAACTTCAACAGCAAATAATTCGGCTATCATCACATACAAACAGCATTGTTTTGAGTCTATAAGCTTCCAAAACCATCCTATGATTTATACGCCGCGGGCATGATTCTCTGCAATGTGAAAAGAATCGATAACATTTCAAATGTGGGTAGAAAGGGTGACGTGACAATCCTAAGACCTGAAAATTTTTTAAGTTCCTAGAGCACAAGAAGCACCCAGTTCAGACACTCCAATCGAGGCCCAGGTCCAATTCCAGGCACTCCAGTTTCCCAGCTCGTCACCCCGCCCCCACCCCGAGAAAGGAGGGAAAACAACTTTTATTGGCCTCTTCTCCCGGGGAATTGGCAAACTAGCGGGGCAGTGCTCCGGTCTGGACACGTTTTACAGGGAGGCCTCCTTCGGGGGCGGGGAGGGCAGATAGCGGGAAAGCTTGGCTTCGAAGCGCCTTCTTCCCCAGTCGCGAGCCCCCTGCCCCACCCCACCAAGAAGAGGCCCCGGCCGGACGCCACGCCGAGCGACCCCCAGGCCCCTCCGCTGAGGCGAGCTTGTTGTCATGTGACGACGCCGCCGCTAAAACACCGCAGAAACGCAGGGCGGCAGGCGGCGAAAGGCATTCTCACCAGCCCGCCTCGGCCCGGCCCCGCCGGGCGCGGGCGAGTCCCGAGAGTCCGGGCGGGGGGGCGGAGGGCGGGCTTGGCGGCGGGCCCGAGCGCGCCACAAAGGCTTCCGCGCCCGTCGCTGTAGTGCCCGAGCGGGCGGGGGCACGATTTTCAGGCCCGCGGGAGGGGCGGGGAGGGACGCGGGCTCCGGGGTGCCCGCCGCGCCCAGAGCCGCCCCCCTTGGCGCCCGGACGGCCAGCGACCGCCGCGCCCCGCACAGGCCCACGCGGCCTCCCTCCCCCGCGCGGGGCCCGCGCCCGGCCCGCCCGCCCGCTCCTCGCTCGCGCTCTCTCGCTCTCTCGCTCTCGCCCGGCCTCCATCTTGGATCCGCGCTTCCAACCCCCGCGCCGCTGCCGCCGCATTCCCCCTTTCCCGCCCCCCGCCGCCGTCGCCGCCGCCCGCACTCACCTCAGCTGCCCATCCGGGCGCCGCCGGCCGTCGACCTAGTTTCCCCCCAAAAGTCTCCGGTGTGTTATTCCCGATGTGGGGGGGTTGTTACGGGGTGTTCGCCGGGGGTTCGGGAGCGGGGGCCGCGCCTTCAACGGAGCTGCAATCCTAACCCGCCATCTGGTGGCATTTTCCACACGCCAATGGCGCCGCTGCAGACTTGGGTCCGGACCGCCCTCTGCTGGCCGCGGCGCTTACTGCCTAGCTGACGGGACGGGCCTGCCCGGAAAGGGGAGGGAGCTGAGGCGCGAGCTGGGGACCGCGGCGGGGACGCGCTCAAACGCTTTCCTGTGGGGATTGCGCGCACGCGCACCAGCGGGGCGGGAAACGTGGCCGCTGCGTGGAGACCCCGCCCCCGCACGGAGCGGTAGCCTACGTCAGCCAATCGCAATCGGCGGACACCCCTTGGTGAGGGCGTTGTGGACGGTTCTTGGGCCGCCCGAGGCTGGCAGAAAGACGGCCACGGTGGCGCCTGCGCGCCCTGCTAACCGAGTTGCCGCCCGCCATTTTTGGAGCTTTTCCGAGACCTGGGAGGGAGACCCGCCCCCGGCCGGTTCACTAAAGCTCCTCCCCAGGTCGCGAGACTGGCGCTTCCTTGCAGCCCCGTCTGAATTGTGCTGTCTCCATCCCACGTCCGGGAAGCATTGTGCGGAAATAGGAGGGAGTGAAAGTGCCAACCAAGCCCTTCAGTCGCCTCTCCTGTACTAGCTACTTATTGTTGACTGTTGGGAAGGCGCTTTCGCGAGCGAGGGTGAAAAGGTTTCGAGACCTGCTCAGGCCCTCCCTGGCGGATCTAGATGCTACAATGCCTGCCCCAGGCCGATTGGCGTCGTCCCTGCCTCTGTAAAGCAGATCCTTTCCATAGTGCCGGCTTTGCATAAGGCGGCAGCATTGGCTAGTTAGTGAAAAAGGAATGTAGCTAGACTGGGAAAATACAGCCTCAGCCTTGGATATACGAGTTCTCTTCCCACAGCGTAGGACAACTCTCAGTGGCTCTGAAATGAACGTGAGAATTGACTAACGTGAGATCGTGACCAAAATATGTCCTTGAACGTCGCTTCTTCTACCCGTCTTTCTGTGGCGGTGGCTCCTACCTTTCACCTGCTCACAACTTTTCTTTTTTTTTTTTTTAATATATTTTTTGAATGTTTTATTTATTTCTAGGAGAGAGAGAGAGAGAGAGACAGCGTGAGCAGGGGAGGGTCAGAGAGAGAGGGAGTCACAGACTGAAACAGGCTCCAGGCTCTGAGCTGTCAGTCAGCACAGAGCCCGACGCGGGGCTCGAACCCACGAACCGTGAGATCATGACCTAAGCGAAAGTCGAACGCTTAACCGACTAAGCCACCCAGGCGCCCCAACCTGCTCACAACTTTTCAATACAAAAGTGATCCTTAATCTCCCTGGTCATCAGCCCCATTCACGACAATTCTTTATTGCTAGAGCCAGCTCTGTTTTAATACTGCCTTATAGAATCCCTCAAATCCTTTAGTCTTCAGACCCGGTTTCCAGTAAATTACCCTTTTCTTTCCCAAAGGTCACAAAGCGTGTGACTGTTTCACCGGAGGAAGTCACGACCTGGTCGTGTATGAATTCGCAACTGGCCTCCCATTTGTAATTTTTTTTTCAACTAATCCCTGGTTGACTTCTTACATTCTCCTCAAAGACTTTCCAGCTTTTCTTGTTATTAAAGGTGCCTGTCCCAATCCATACTAATAGATAACTTCATTTAGTTTCTTGGAATCAAAGCTCTGGAATTCCCAATTATGGTTTTATATTCTCTTCATCTTAAAATATCTGTAGTCACATTCTGTTGATGATCTCAAAAATTCTCAAGGGGCACCTGGGTGGCTCAGTCGGTTGAGCGTCGGACCTTGGCTCAGGTCATGATCTCACTCATGGGTTCAAGCCCCGCATCAGGCTCTGCTGGCAGCTCAGAGCGGAGCCTGCTTCATATTCTGTGTCTCCCTCTCTCTCTCTACCTCTCCCCTGCTCGTCCTCTCTCTCTCTCTCTCTCTCTCTCTCTCTCTCTCCCTCTCTCTCAAAATAAATAAATGTTAAATTTTTTTTTTTGTAATTCTCATCAAATCAGCGTGTTCTACCCTTTTCTCCAAAGCAACTCCTCCTTGGACCAAGAATGCCATCCCTTCCCACTTCCTTCTGCCACTACTTTCTTAAGGTCTTAGATCTTTAGGTCCTTATCCACCAGTTTCTTTTCTGCTTTTCAACAGTTTCCATTGTCTTTTTAAAAATTTCAATGCTTCTATTCTCTCTAGTAACTATAACATCAACTTTCACTGTCGCATTTCTGAAAGGACACAGTCACCACCTCCATTTATACTTTACTCCTTAGCTTGTATTAATCAGACTTTATAACAGCAAAATGAAATTACACTTTAAGGTCAACAGAGTTCTAACCATTTTCTCATTCCTCATTTTCTTGCCATACCAGTTCCTACTCTCTCCTTAAAGCCCTATTTCCCTTTATTTTAAGACAATTCCTGTTATCTACAACCCACCTGGTTTACTGGTCTTATTCCTTTGCTGGCTCCTTCCTCTTTCTTCCATCCAGTAATTCAACTCCTAGCTCTCTGTCCTTCTCTACTATATTCTTTCACTTAGGAAGTCTCCCAAAATAGGGGTGCTTAGATGGCTCAGTAGGTTAAGAGGCCCACTCTTTTTTTTTTTACATATAGTTTATTGTCAGGTTGGTTTCCATATAACACCCAGTGCTCACTCCCACAAGTGCCCTCCTCCATGCCCTTCTCCCCCCTCCCCCCCCCATCCATCAGTCCTCAGTTTGTTCTCAGCATTCAAGAGTCTCTCATGGTTTGCCTCTCTCCCCCTCCCCCACTATTTCCCCCAGTCTTCTCCGCCAAGGTCCTCCATTAAGTTCCTCCTAATCCTCCTATACGTGCAAACATATGGCATTTGTCCTTCTCTGCCTGACTTATTTCACTCAGGTAACACCCTCAAGGTCCATCCAGGTTGCTACACATGGCCAGATTTCATTCTTTCTCACTGCCATGTATTATTCCATTGTATAGATAAACCACATCTTCTTGATCCATTCGTCCGTTGATGGACACTTAGGCTCTTTCCATGTTTTAGCTATTGTGGAGAGTGCTGCTATGAACATTGGGGTACATGTGCCCTATGCATCAGCACTCCTGTATCCCTTGGGTAAATTCCCAGCAGTGCTATTGCTGGGTCATAGGGGAGTTCTATTGTTATTTTTTGAGGAACCTCCACACTGTTTTCCAGAGGGGCCGCACCAGTTTACATTCCCACCAACAGTGTAGGAGGGTGCCCGTTTCTCCACATCCTTGCCAGCATCTAGATTTCTCTGATTTGCTCATTTTAGCCATTCTGACTGGTGTGAGGTGGTATCTAAGTGTGGTTTTGATTTGTATTTCCCTGATGAGGAGGGATGCTGAGCATCGTTTCATGTATCTGTTGGCCATCTGGATGTCCTCTTTGGAGTAGTGTCTGTTCATATCTTCTGCCCATTTCTTCACTGGGTTGTTTGTTTTTCTGGTGTGGAGTTTGGTGAGTTCCTTATAGATTTTGGATATTAACCCTTTATCTGATATGTCATTTGCAATTATCTTTTCCCATTCCGCCAGTTGTCTATTAGTTTTATGGATTGTCTCCTTTGCCTTGCAGAAGCTTTTAATCTTGATGAGGTCCCAATAGTTTATTTTTGCTAAGAGGCCCACTCTTGACTTCAGCTCAGGTCATGTTCTCACAGTTCGTGGATTTGAGCCCCACATAGGGCCAGGCTCTGCACTTATGGTACAGAGCCTGCTTGGGATTCTCTCTCCCTCACTTTGCCCCTCCCCTGCTGGCTCTCTCTGTCTGTCTCTCAGAAATATATAATCTTTTAAAAAAAAATTTTTTTAATTTTTTTAATGTTTTATTTATTTCTGAGAGAGAGACAGCGTGAGCAGGGGAGGGTCAGAGAGAGAGGAAGACACAGAATCAGAAGCAGACTCCAGGCTCTAAGCGAGCTGTCAGCACAGAGCCTGACACGGGGCTCGAACCCACGAACCGTGAGATCATGACCTGAGCTGAAGTTGGACATTTAACTGACTGACCCACCCAGGCACCCCTAAAAAATTTTTTTAAGTCTCCCAAAATTACTGTTTCTGTTCAAAATTTAAACACTTAAAGCATTTTGGAGATACCTGGGTGGTTCAGTGGGTTGGGCGTCCAATTTTAGCTCAGGTCATAATCTCACAGTTTGTAGGTTTGAGCCCCACATCAAGCTTTGTGCTGACAGCTTAGAACCTGGAGCCTGCTCCAGATTCTGTGTCTCCTGATTTCTCCCTATTTCTCTGCCCCTCTCCTGCTCATTCTGTCTCTCTCTGTGTGTGTCTTAAAAATAAATAAACATTTTTAAAAAATTTTTAAATAATGCATTTTTCTCATTTAAATTTCCTAATGTCCCTTAATAACACTGTAATCTCAGTGTAGTAATTAAGAACAAGAATTCTGGAACCATGCTGCTCTGGAAAGCTGTGTGATCCTGGACAAATCTCTTTGTGCTTCACTTTCCCCAGTTGTTGGAAATAACAATAGTACCTATCTCATAGATTTGCTATGAGTATTAAACAAATTAACAATGATATAGAAATAACATTGGTATTATTGAAGTGTTGTTTTTATCTTGCTAAGAACTGTTTTGCAATTTTTTTTTAATATCCAAGGGCATAGGTAATCAACTTTCTGAGTTTAGAGAAATCTAAAATTTTCCTTATTTTGCCATCTTAACTCAACAGTTAAACTGGTGTTTGTAAATAATTACCTAGTCTCCTAGGTTGTGATTTGTAGGGCTTGTCTTGACTCTTTCCCTTCAAAATAGCCAAAGTCCCATGATATTGTTATTGAGATCACTGGCTTTTTCTCCCACTGCTTTTATCCTTATTCAAGGCTGTCCCTCCCCACCAACTCCCATTGTCTTATACATAAGAATTATAATAGGCTCCTAAAAGTCTGTGTCTATCATTCACCACCCTTAAAAAAAAAAAAAAAAAAACGACAAAAGTTTTCTATGATTCCTGGTTTACAAAGTATAATCGAAAATAATGATATTCAACAAATACCTTGATCTTTTTCCAAATGCTCTCTATTTTCTTATAAATTCTTCAAATTAGTTGATTTAGTCTGAAAAATCATAAATATAAGCAAAGGTTAGATACATTTAAAGTTTAGCTATTTGGTAAAATAAAGTTAATAGGTATAATAAAGAGTTGACTTTGTTACAGAATCACACATTTCCCAGGAGCCTCTGCTTTTGTGAAATTCTTAATCAAGATTCCAAAGTTCTTGGCAAAGATTTTCAAATACCACAATTTTCATGAACAGCTTCAAGCCATTTTGTATGAACAAAATATCAAAAAAGATACCTGACACTAGTATGAGTAGGAACTA